GTTGTCCAACGCCTGGACCGGATGTGATCGTCGTCCAACGCCTGGACCGGGTGGTAATGCATATCCAGTACGAGGATTAAATAGCAATGCGTATCCAACACGAGGACTAAGAGGTATGTCCAACACGAGGACTAAGGGGGGGTAGTGCTTGTCCAACACGAGGACTGAGTTTAACCTAGTTTTCCCACCACATGGGCCAAATAGTAATCGTCGATGAGATGTATGAGGAGATATACTTATACAAATTTCACACTCAACTCGGTGTGTGATTCTAAACTGGCATTTCAAGCCATCTATCATGCATAGATACTTAATAAAACTGAGAACCAAAGTTATATGATCAAGGCAAGCACTCGAACAAGTGTAAGGTTCAACAAAAATAAACAGGGCAAAACTAACAGTGCGGCGGTCGACCACAGAGACCCCTCCGGTCGACCGCTCACTGAGCCGAAACTTACTGGGCTCAAAATTGAGCAGTGGTCGACCGCAGAGGTCATGCCGGTCGACCGCTCAAAGAGCAAAAGCGATTCTGCTAGCCAAAATCTCGTGACGGTCGACCGCTGAGTCCACTGCGGTCGACCGCTGAGCGGACAGAACCCCAGTCTGGGTTTCTGTCAGAGTTTAACTCTCATAAAAGTGTTTCAAATCGAAATCTCATTAATTAAACATCATTAGTGACATTTTTATTGCTGAAAAATATGATTCTTGCACCTCAAGCCATAAGATCTGCTTTATCTACACAAAATACGATTTGGGCTCAATAAAAACCGGATGAAGACTCAAATCTAAGCATAAAAACGAAAAGGGATGAAGTTGGGCAAGATGTTACTCGCCTACGACGAAAACGAAGCCCTAGATCTGGAGGGAGATGATCCCTCTCGCTGAAACCACCAAAAATTCCCAAACTTTAATCAACGAAATTTTAAAAGTTCTTAAACAATTAAGAATAGGTTTAAACTCTCAAAAAAAACCGTTTCAGGTCAAGATCTCATCAACTAAAATCATTAGTGAACTTTTTATGACTGAAATATATGATTTTCACATCTTATGCCATAAAGATCTACTTTATCTACGTAAAATACGGTTTAGGCTCAATAAAAAACCGGATGAAAACTCAAATCTAAGCATAAAAACGAAAAGGGATGAAGTTGGGCGAGATGTTACTCGCCTACGACGAAAACGAAGCCCTAGATCTGGAGGGAGATGATCCCTCTCGCTGAAACCACCAAAAATCCGCTGAAAAACCCTCCAAAGCTTCTCCAAATCACCAAAGAGTGAAAACTAGGGTTTTAGGAGGAGAGAGGGGGCTAGGGTTCTGATTTCAGATGAGAAATGGGGCTCTTTAGGGTATGATAGTATATATACTAACCCCACAACCCGACCCGAACCCGACCCGAAACCCATTAAGACCCAACACAGAAAAACTCTCTGCCTGCTGTGCGGTCGACCACCGCGCCTTGCGCAGTCGACCGCACAGCAGGAGAAAAGTCTCCTGTGTGCCTGACTGCTGTGCGGTCGACCGCCGCGCACATCGCGGTCGACCGCACAGCAGAACAACTGCCTGCTATGCCTTCTATCACATGCTGATCAATCCCCTTGATTTCTCTAACATAGAAATTCTTGCTAGGCTCCCAAACACTATTTATCACATTTATTTAACATATATATGGTTATTCATCTCAAAAGAAATGTTTACCACTAATAACTCAATATATTCATTAATAAATTTACGGGGTTCTACACTCGGTCATTTTTCCACCAGACTTCTTAACATATTTCTTTTCTACGATATCTAGAATGTCAAGGTCAATGCATTGTAAATAAATTCTCATCCTAGCTTTCCAATATGCAAAGTTGCTACCGGTGAAGAGAGGTTGTCTAGTGGTGGATTGTCCTTCTAGCATATGCATGTTCATTGAAGCCTCCATAATGATCTTTTCTCTAAGGGTTATAATCCTAAAAAAGTAGAGACCTTGCTCTGATACCAATTGAAAGGCCCTAGAGGGCGGGTGAATAGGGTTTATGGATGAATAAAATGTAATTAAAAGTAATTCTAACAAACCACACACAAAATGAAATGCAATGACAATAAAAAGAGAGTAGTCTGAGTTTAATATATTCGACATGTCATGATGTGGTTGCATGAAATTAGTTTTATTTATTATCTCTTTGTTGTGATTGAGAACACTTAGTAGTTCATGATTTAGTGGCCTCATGCGTCATGAACAGACCTAGTGACTCATGTGGGTATGTTGACTAAGTTTAGGTGGTGAACCAGAGTTTTAAAAGGGATTATTATCATTGACTTAGAAAGACCGAGAAGAGATGGGTTGAGAAAGTCTTGGTTCGCATGATCGAATGTGATTGTCGACTTATCTTCCAGGCCCGCACCAGTGACCTGTTTTGTCCTGGGGTTGGTTTGTTGGGCCAAGTGACATGTTTCGCCACTTGGGTCTGTGACACGTTTTATCACCTGAACTTTACCTGAGTGCGGACCGGGCCGAGATCGGATTGCGTGTAGTCCTCTAGCTACCTATTTTGCAGGATTGGATGCACGTAGGGGATGGTGAACAGCCAGTCTTTCGGTAATGCGAAATTGGACCTATTTGAGAGGTGGACCAGTGAGTTTTAGGATGGTTAGTATTTGACCCGGTTACTATATGTATGTAGTCGTATGTTATCATGTTTAGTAGAGGATTACATTTTGATTTAGTAGATTTCTAGTTGTATGTACCCTTGTCTTCCTATTATTGTTACTCCTGTCATAGCATGGGTCATACGACCATTTTATTTTTTTCATGTGAGATCTTGCCGTGTGCCATGCACACTGACGTACACCTGTTTTGTCTAGTGTGCGTCAGACTTAGGGGACATATGTGTCCAGTTCGATGATGTAGCAGAGACGGTGTATGCCCAGTTGGAGTATCCTTCCGATGGAGTGGAAGAACAAACTGAAGCGTAGTGGTTTTCTTCTGTAGTAGTTGTGGAACATTAGAATTCTTTTACCGTATTTTTCTTAGTTTGATAATGAATTTCGTATTTTCTAGCAATATTTTTTTTATTATGGACTATGTATTTTTATTCTTAGTTGGACCATTTTTGTAATAAGGGTATGTTTGACCCATATTTTTATGTCTGGAATGATTTACTGTTGATGATATGTTTATTTCTTATTCTGGGTTGTTATTATATTTTTGCTATTGTGATCGGGGATCTGTGATTGATATTCTTATGTTTGACGCTTAGCGTATTAGATTGAGAAGAAAATAAAAAGAAAGAAAAAATTTAGTGTATATTTCTCCTCAATTTAATATGTCGCGGGCTTGTTCACGTTCCGATTCCCTAATATTTTGAAAAGCGGTACGTGACAGGTTTTAGTGATGGCCCATGCAGGTCACGGTCCTGAGTCCTCACTTGTAAGACTGTAGTGGACAATTTAGATACATATCAGGTTTTATCCATAAGACGACAATTAAGTTCTTATACTATTATCTTAATAACTATGTTTTAGTTCCTATTTTCCCAATATATTATTTTGATTATAACCTTAGTTTTTCTTTTGATCCTTGTTTTCCTTCAGAACTATGGTGGGTACGCGTGGCAATAGTAACCCGTCTGGTAGCAGTGCCTCGCCACCCGAAGTGGACCCGAACCAACTTCTAGAGATGATTCAAGGATTGGTTACTAATCAGCAGTACTTGGCTGGGCATCTATATAAGGAGCCACAACACTAGCCTCCCCCTCATGCAGAGTTTGGTGTTAGGGAGTTTCGGTACATGCGACCGTCTTCCTTCTCTGGTGCTGAAGGACCCCTAGCAGCGGAGCAGTTCCTGAAGGTCACTGAGACTATTCTCACGGTGACCCGTATTGCCCCTGCTGAATAGGTAAACCTTATGGATATTTAGCTCATCGATACTGCTCAGATATGGTGGGCAGTTGAGAAGACCCATCTGGAGAGGTCAATCCTATGGGAGACGTTCACAGAGCACTTCAACAGGAAGTATTTTCCTCAGTCGGCTTGAGACGAACTACTACGTAGGAGGAAGGCCGATCAGTTGATGAGTATGAGGCCGAGTTCTCTTCCCTGAGTCGATATGCTCCCCATATGGTTACGGACTCTACTATTAGGAGGCATCAGTTTCAGAGGGGTCTGGATAAGCATATCAGGTTTGCTCTGGCTGGTAAAGCACTTGCGACCCATGACGATGTGCTGGTGCAGCGTGTGAGATCGAAAGTGTACAGAAGGAACCTAAAGACCCACATGTGATTCAGAGAAAGGCACTAGTAGTTCCAGCTAGGACTGTCGAGCGTCCTTCTTCGAGGCAGCAGCAGCAGGCCCCGCAGAGGTAGCAGCATTCTCAGCGTTAGCCACTTCCTCAGGTCCATCCCTATCAGCATCTTGGAGTGCAGTCTCATGGCCAGTCTTCAGTGAAGTATTCCTATTGTGACTTTGTTGGGCATACCCAACAGGAGTGCCGCAAGCGTCTCCATCTATGTTATATTATGGATTCCCCGGTCATATCAGTTAGGACTATCCGCAGCGGTAGCAGGCTTGTTGCCACCTCCAGTCGAGCAACTTTATCAGTCCACCTCAACCTACCCATAGCTCCGCGGACCGGTTCAGCACAGTACCCTATCCTCGAGCAGGGCCTCTTCCTCCGTAGAAACAGGTTTATTAAGAAGCACAAAGGCAGCAACCACCGAGACAGATGTTTATGATGTCAGCTGTGGAAGCTGAGGCGAACGACCAAGTTATCACTGGTAAGAATTGTTCATCTTAGTTTTATTTGCATATGAACTTCCTTATTTAGCATTACCTAATGATATCTTGATAGGATTGTTTATGAGTACTAAGTTAGTTGTATTTACCTCCTCCTATAATAGGCAAGGTTCTTGTTTCTTCTGTTCCTCATTTATCACTCTTTGACTTTGGAGCCTCCCATTGTTTCTTATCTCGTCGATTTGCGAGTGCCCACTCTCTTCCTATAACTCCTCTGACTATGGGCTGGAATATCAACACTGGCAGTGGTGTCCTAGTAGCATTCAATGGTTATGAAGCATGCCCTGTGGTCATCTGTGGGAGGGAACTCTTTGCAGACTTTCTGGTGATTGGTTTGCTGAGCTTTGATGTAGTATTTGGGATGGATTGGTTGTGGTCTTTCTTTGCCACCATTGATTGTCACCGTCAGAGCATAGTAAATGAGATACCGGATCACCCGAGGTTTGAGTTCCTCAGTGGTAGAACATCGGCCGGACCTATAGAGTACAGAGCTAGACCGAAGAAGGCAATGTTAGCTACAATGCAAGTAGAATCCGAGAAGCCGGTTATAGTTCGAGAATTTGAATATGTGATTCCTGACGATATTTACGGATTACCACTGGATCAGACAATTGAGTTTTTCATAGATTTAAAGCCGGGAGTTGCTCCGATCTCCAAGACTCCTTATCGTATGCCTCCGGCTGAGCTGGCTGAGCTTCAGACTCAGTTGGATAATCTTTTGCAGTAAGGTTTAATATGACCCAGTGTATCGGCCTGGGGAGCACCTGTGTTGCTTGTGGGAAAGAAGGATGGATCCAAGTGGATGTGCATCGACTACCGGGAGTTGAATGCAGTGACAGTGAAGAATAAGTATCCACTTCCTTGTATGGATGATATCTTTGATCAATTAGGAGGATCGAAAGTATTTTCTAAACTAGATTTGTGGAGCGGGTATCACCAGGTGAAGGTTAAGGATTCTGATATCCATAAGACTGCGTTCCGGACGAGATATAGACATTATGAATTCTTAGTGTTGCCGTTTGGTGTGACTAATGCACCTCCGACATTCATGAACCTGATAAATCTAGTATTCTATGATGTACTGGACAAGTTTGTGGAAGTCTTTATTGATGATATCTTGGTGTACTCTAAGAGTGAAGCGGAGCATGAAGAGCATTTGTGGTACGTGTTGAAGACCTTGAGAGAGCATCAGCTATTTTCCAAGTATAGTAAGTCCTAGTTCTGGCTAGATCGTATAGCATTTCTGGGACACATGGTGTCAGGAGATGATATATCAGTGGATTCAGAGAAGGTATCTGTAGTGAAAGATTGGCCTACCCCTAAGTCGGTGTCTGACATTAAGAGCTTCCTGGGATTAGCTGGTTACTACCATCGCTTCATCAGAGATTTTTCAAAGATTGCGGAGCTGATGATGCGACTTACGAGGAAGGATATTAAGTTTGTCTGGTCCAACACTTGTGAATAGGCATTTGAGGAGTTAAAGTCTCGACTGATTTTGACCCCAGTCCTGACGATACCAGATAAGAGCAGAAACTTTGACGTGTTTTGTAAGGTATCAGGTAGAGGATTGGGATGCATTTTTTAGCAGGATGGTCATGTGGTGGTATATGCTTCTCGTCAGTTGAAGAAGCATGAGCAGAATTATCCTACCCACGACTTGGAGCTAATAGCTGTGATTTTTACCCTTAAGCTTTGGAGGCATTATCTGTTGGGAGAGCAAGTGAAGGTGTTCACTGACCATAAGAGCTTGAAGTACATATTTACTTAGAAGGAGCTCAACATTAGGCAACACCAATGGTTAGAGCTGATGACAGATTACAACATTGACCTTCAGTACCAGCATGGTAAGGTCAATGTAGTACCGGATGCTTTGAGCCGTTCAGCTCAGTGGAGACTTCAGCAGGAAGTGAGAGATATAAGTATATAAGTTCTTCTTCCAGGAGTCACCACTTTTTTAATGAATCTTCAAATTCAATTGACACTTGTCGAGTGAATCAAGGCTGCACAAGCAGGTGACTTATTTTTTCAGAAGTGCAGAGAGTTAGCAGTGGCTGATCTTCGACTGAAATTTGTTGTTCATAAGGACGGATCCTTATGATTTGAGAGTCGTATCTGCATACCAGGAGGAGATGTTTGAGAGGAGATATTACGGGAAGCTCACAGTTCTTCGTATTCTATTCACCCTGGAGGTACGAAGATATACAAGGATCTGAAGCTGAATTATTGGTGGTGTGGTATGAAGAGAGATATGGCTCGTAGTTTCGTAGTTTGGCTAAGTGCCTTGTATGTCAGTAGGTGAAGGTAGAGCATCAGTACATCGTAGGTCTTTTGCAGCCATTGCCTATTATGGAATGGAAGTAGCAACATGTCACCATGAACTTCGTTATTGGCTTACCTCAGAGCACTAGACAAAATGACGCTATTTGGGTGATTGTAGATCGATTAACCAAATCGGCTCACTTCATTCCTTTTCGAGTGGGACAGTCGACAGAGTACCTTGCTCAGAGATACATGGAGGTAAAATATTTATCTCTATATATTTCAATGAGTTCCTTTCCCAAGAGTGTTAGTAAATCTCTCGTATTGCAGGAGATCGTGCGATTGTATGGAGTTCCAGTATGCATCATTTCGGATCGCGAAACCCGATTTACCTCAAAGTTCTAGAAGAGTTTGCAGGCGAGTCTGGGGATTAGTCTCAGTTTTAGCACAGCTTAACATCCTCAGACTGATGGCCAGTTAGAGAGGGCCATTCAGATTTTGGAGGATATGCTTAGAGCTTGTATGCTTGACTTTCACGGGTCGTGGGAAGATCACTTATATTTGGTGGAGTTCGCATACAACAATAGCTTCCTGGCTAGCATTGGGATGGCCCCTTTCGCGGTATTATATGGGAGGAAGTGCTGCTCTCCGTTGAGTTGGGACGATGTTGGTGAGCGGGAGACTTTTGGGCCGGAGTTGATTGATAAATCAGTTAATGTAGTCAGGATCATTCGGGAGCGACTTCACATAGCGTAGGACAGATTCAAGCATTGGGCAGATGTGAAACACCGACACTTGGAGTTTCAGCCAGGAGATCATGTGTTGCTAAATATTTCCCCCAACCGATGCACCATTCACTTTGGAAGGCATGGGAAGTTGAGTCCACGATATGTGGGACCTTTCGACGTATTAGAGAGAGTGGGAGAAGTGGCATACCAACTTGCATTACCACCCACCCTGGTTGGAGTGCATAACGTATTCCATATATCTCAGTTGTGGAAATAGGTCGGAGATCCGAGTCATGTTGTAGATTTCTCGGAGATTGAGGTGCGATCCGATTTGACATATGAGAAGCAGCCTGTGGCAATTTTGGACCGAAGGGAGAATACCCTCCGAAACAAGACTGTTCCGCTTGTTCATGTGATGCGGCATCCAAATTCTCCTAGAGAGTCGACTTGGAAAACTGAGTCTGAGATGCGACAGCGATACCCTCATCTATTTCCTGAATCTTAGTTGTCACGTCTTGTATCTTATTTTGAATCGCCTTGTAAGACTTTTCTTATTTATGGATATACAATATATTTTGAACATTATATGAGTTGAAGTGAATCTATCTTTATATTTCGTCCTTGTTATTTTAATTCCAAGGACGGAATTTATTTTAAGGAGGGTAGGATGTAATGATCGTAAAATTTAATACTAATTAAATAAATTTCTAGTATTTTAAAATATTTAATTATTTTTTAGAAGAGTATTTGTATTTTCTCGGCCTTCTAGAATTTTCTATGATATAAAAGTCCAAATTTTATATTTTTTAAATGATTTTAATATTTATAAATTTATTTTGTGTGGTAAACATTTTTAGAATTAATCTGTTGTGTTATCGGTACTATTACGTATTATTTTAAATAATATGTTGTATTATTGTTACTATTATGTATTATTTCGTGTATTATGTTGTATTATTAATTACGTATTATTTATATAATTTGTTGTATTATTTCTACTATTGTGTAACAACTGTTGTATTAACACAACTAGTATGTTTTATCATGTAGATAATTATCCTATAATTAGGATAATTATTTGATTTTAAATATAAGTAATTGTATTTTTATTGATTATTCTTGTTTAATTGTATAATTTGTTGTATTATTTCTTCTGTTGCGTATTAGCTATTGTATTAATACAACTGGTATGTTTTTATTTGTAGATAATTATTCCTTAATTATTTTGATTTTTAAATATTAGTAATTATTTATTTTAATTAATTTTTAGTTAATTAATCCTAACCCTAATATTATCTATAAATACCCCCTCCTTTTCTCTCTCGTCTTTGTTCTCTCTTCTCTCTGTTTCTTCCCAAACCTGTCGCCACTGTTCTCTTCGTTTTTCACGCACAAGCCCCCTCACAGCCTCCAACACCACCTCCTCTCCAAACCCCTCACCGCCTCTCTTCTCCCACCCGCCACTTAGCCTCACGCCAAAACCATCTCTCGACCTCCGCTGGACCCGCTACTCGCCGCCAGCTTCACACAGTCCAGATCCCTCCTGTAAAGCCCAACCCCCTCGTCCTCCTCCCCCACACCGAGCACCATCACCCCTTTGGCCAACTCCACCACCAGCGCCCACCAAGATCTTCGAGCGCCCTCTCCTCAAACCCCAACAACGTCCCGACAACCTCTCTCACCCACCTCAGACTCACGCAGCCCCTCTCTCCCTGTGAGTCTTCATGTACCCGCGACAACTCCGCTGCTGACACTCTCCCACGATATCTCACCACCTACCGACTCACTCTCCCTACTGACGTGAGACCCCGATAGCGACTGGCTGCCGCCGAAGCGCCGACCGCTACGAAATCGCCAGCTAGCCTCCGCTAACCCGAACTAGCCGTCCGACCCGCTACCCTCGTCACTGCCCGACGCTGACTTGATCTCAATGCCGCCTACCACTGATGTCAGCCCCAACCCGCTGCCCCTTGTCGGAGTTTCTTCCGACGTTGTGCTCCACTACGTCCGATCCGACCCGTGCCATCGACGTCGATTTGTTCGACGCACCGAGGCAAGATCTCACCTCTCAATTAAGTATTTTTATAATTATTATCGCTTAAATGTTTAGTTAGATATATTAATGTTGTTAATATGCATATTTGGCGTGGAATGCTGATATATGGTAATAGATAACTTTTTTTAGTAATAAATAATGAGATATTTTACTGTATTTATGTCTAAAAATTAACGAGCATGAAATGATAAACGTATGTGTTGTAATTAGATTTTATGAGACATTAACAATTTTGTATAATTACATCTAAGAATTTACAGACATGAAATGACAAGTTAGGTGTTATAATTAGAATTTACAAAATATTATCGAAAAAGAAATAAATTAAAGGTAATTTATAAAATAGGGAAATGTTATTATTCATGCATAAAAGAATTAACAAAAATATATATTACATAAATATTTTATTTTAAATTAGTTATAATGAGAAATTGTTTTAAAGACTAATTTTGGAAAAAAATATTTATTAATTAAGAATGTATAACTGATAGTCGTAGAGCGTGACATTTCATATGCAAAACGACATCGGTTTCCAGTTTTCTTTTACTGCATTATTATGTTAGAGATTTCTTAATTACAAAAAACTTGCATGAGAAGTTTTGATACCTCAGTAGTAAGATATTAACAAGATCTGTTTATGTGTGTATTTATGCTATTGTAGACACGGTTCATGCATTCCGTAAT